TCAAATAAACTTTCATCACAATTCATTATTAGCTTGTAGTATAATTTTTACTTGAAATAAGTTCATCATTTTAAATAGAAATGACTCTCGTTAGCAGATTTCAATCAATTGAATATTTTATTCTTATATTTCTATTGCTATTCTTCCAAAAGACGTCGTTGAGCTTTCGAACTTATGAAACGCTCTTTATACGCAGAGTATGTTTGTAGACATGTAAGAAAACAAGCGAAAGTGTAAAGACACATCGTAAGATATCATCTTTGATTATATCTCCTATAAATGATATTATATTCGTGGTGTCCTGATGAGTATGTCCTCGAAAAGATCAATTTCGTATGTTCCGATAATATCTCATTGATATGATGCTTTAATATTTGAATAGAATTCTTTAATCTGGCAAAGTTTGTTATCATTATTTTGCACTAGATATTAAAATGCTGTTACGAACTTGTAGTTCAATGGATTCAAAACCTTTCCCAAGAAAGCACCTCGACGAAGCACGTATATAAAAAAAAAGCTTCAAGAAAAGAAAGATACATATGTTTTTCATTCAAAAAGTCATTTTCTTTACAAAAAAAAAATCGTTTTTGTTTCTACTCTTTCTTGTCCATCGTGCTGCCCGATCAAAGTGTGCTGTAACCAATGTGTTATCCCATCTATGAAAAAACAGTATACATCCATGCTACGACTCTCATAAACTGTATAGATCTGTTGAAAAAAAATGAATTACTAACTTAGAGTGAATATTGATGGACTAATGCCAATGTTAGCCTGAACAAAAACTTGTAGATTTGTAAAACATTAAATTAGGTGCTTACTACTTTTCGACCTTCTTGACTACAATTTAATTCATATAACGATTGCTATAATAAAAATGAAAAGATATTTCATTCGAAATAAAAGAAACCATTCTTACCGAAAGAATAAACATCTTTTTCGCTAATTGTTTATTGCCTGTTTCTGCTGACAATTCTAAGGATAGCTAAAAACAGATGAAAACCAAATAAATTGAAACAAAATTATTAAGTAATTGAATTACATCAACTATGTGTTTAAGTAAAACTTGACAACGATTATCGATATCTTTGCTTGTAGGATCCATCACGAATATATACTAAAGATAATGAAATAAAAAACTAAAATCAACTATCTCATCTAATCAAATACCAGCTATTTTTTCCTTAATTAATATAACTTTAATTTCTTTTTGATATCTTCTAAAATAAGAAAATAAATTAGGAGTTTACGATAATGCGAAAAAGTATGGTTTACTTATTCAATTAACTCCTGTTTTGAATCTTTAGATTATGAAAAATAATCCATCTTTTTATCACGTATATATGATAACAAAACAAACAATCAATAACTTTTATATAAAGATTTGTGTTGATGTGTTTAATAAGCCGTCTAGTTGAAGTTTGTACTTATTATCTATAACATGACATACAATAAAGACTGGTAAGAAGTATAGGATAAAAGTCAATATTTTTTTTATAGGTATATATGGTATACTGAAGTAAAATAGAAAAGGATAAATAAATAAACAACAAAAACACATGTTTAGTCTACGATCAGATGTGAAAAATGACGAGTTTTTCGAGGGTACTATAACTAAAAATGGCTGAATGAAAATTTCACAGAAAATTAATCTATTTTCATATCTACAGAATCGTCTTTTACCAGAAAGTATGCCAAAGATATTTAAAGACACAAAAGTTAAATATATTTTTGTGAAAATTTCACCCGATTATGTTGAGCTTTACCGAACTCAGAATTGTTACACTCTTTACCACCAGACCATGGACTAATATAATTTCCTATTTGTCAAACCTAATCCTCTAAATGCTATATTTTTCTTCATGTTATTTCCAGTGTATTTCTACCGTCTGCGTACGATACTTTTCGACATGCGGCACAATATTACTGTTTTACTTAGCTTCCTGTTTTATATAGAAATTGACACTGTAGCAATACACAAATATAATGTTGTTGTTTACTAACTGAATTTAACTTGTTCATTTTTGTTCCAATAGTATTACCTCAAGAGTATAAAATACTATTCAATACATGGCTCCTGTTAACATTCTCATCAAAAAAATGAAAAAGCCGTTAGCGCAAGTTCTGCAGGATTGAAATGTCTAAACACGATGCAGTATTTGCTACTAGTGACACAGATATTACTTTCTTCGATATGTCTTCGGACTCAATTATTCATCATTTTTTCTTATCCCTTTACAACTGCAATCATAAGGCAGTTGATATATTCTCATGAGGTTATAGAGACATTTAACCGTAATTCGTGTAACAAAAGGTCTATCAAGGTCCCGGGGAAGGGTTCTAAATTTCTACCGCTATATACTTCAACACTCATTTCGGATCATGTTTCAAAAAATAAGACAAATCAAAAACAAGCTACTGTACTTGTTGAATTCATTGTCAGTCATTGTGCCAATGAGAATACTGATGATCATATCATTTTTACTAATAGTTAATTATGGATAAACGATAAAACACAAATCAAGAACAACAGAAAACTTACTAAATTGTATTTCTTCGCTTTCGCATACATTTATTTATTCACTTATTTTTTCTTTTCTTTTTATTATTATTATTCATGATAGTAACACAAAAATGTTAATAGTTAATGATAAACAAGGAAAAGAAACAAAATTACTTTTCGAAAAATAAACTAAAAACTATGGAAAAATAATACGATTAAATGAGAACCAAAGAAAAAGGATTGTGTAAATTTTACTTTTAATGGAATTCGAAAAATTTACTTTTTTTGAGTTTCTTTTTTACTTTACTAATGTTTTTTACATAGTGTTCTTTGAAAATGGCAATGATCTTGATGAATATTGAGGAGAAGATCCTTCAGCAATAAAGGTATTTTTTACAGCTTAGAAAATAGAACAATAAAATGATTCATGAATCAGGGTGCGCAGTCTTCATGGAATAGAAATGCGAAATAATATGAGTTGGTTCCCTATTGTAAACAACAAGATTTTAGGAATCACTGAATGTTAGCACGTATTGACACACTTTCAGGTAAAAAAAAGTATTGTTTTCGTAAATGACAAAAAAGGAATCGACAATACCTATCATGCAAGTTATAAATGGTTTCAATGACCAAGAACAGGTATGCAATTGGACTGACGAGGTAAGATCCCTAAGTGTGACGCGCAATTTTGAATCGGAAGTGTACTAATTTATAGAGCTCACCGAGCTGATTCTCATGGCAGAAAGCATTCTTCCCCATGAGGCCTTAAATTAGACAAAATGAATCAATTTTACTTGTGAGAGATCATATTCGAGACATTGAAATTTTACACATATCAGAGTACCAAAAAATTAAATATGATTATTGATTCTTCCACTTTTGACTATAGATTTTCATTGAAATAGACAAAACCTGCCTAGCAATATCTTACTTTGCATGTTTCAATCTTGCAATTATAATATATATATTCTTCTTTTCAGTCATTCTTTCCTATTTCATACACTATTTTTCTTATCAATTTTCAGGTTGTGATATCTGAAGATTTACAGCTTGACATTTTCTATTGCTTCTGTGTCTGTCTCTGTGCATTGAGCATTGATAATATAGGTAAATTTATACCAGAAACCGCACTTTTAAAGACAGATATTACGGAGGAGGAATTCTTGATCGCATTATTAGACGAAGTTCCCAACAGTGACAGTTATGTCATCGAAACAGAACACTCTCTTGAGCTTCCCGAGGGTGTGCTCCGAGTGTGGATGTGTATTAAGATTAGAAGATACACACACTCACACCCTCCACCCTCATCTTCCGAAGTCGGGGTTATTTCTTCAACAATTCCCCGATCTTTTTAGAACTCAACATCCGATTCTGATTCTATTTCATTCCAAACTTGTAAACTCACGTCATCATTAGTAATTCTTCGGAACTTGGAGATTCAAATTGTATTTTTGGAAAAATTATTATCCAAACTACACACATCATTCAGTGGGTTAGTGTCCTCTTCAGTATCAGTTTCTTCAAACGATATGTAAATCATTGTAAAATTTCGATCTTTTTCATACAAATGAGAAGTAAAAGTCAAAGATAATATTACGAAAAGAAAGCAAAAAAAAGATTGAAATTTTGTTTCTTTATTTCGTTCCTACTGCGTAATACATATAAGACAAAGAGAAAAATATACTTGAAAAATTATTAAGTTCGATATGAAATAGGGCCACCTATGTAATGATAAAAACAAGAAAAAAGAAAAACGAATGGATGTTCATACTGAAAAGACTAACGAGTACATTTATCGAGGGTTATTACATATGGAAATGAAGGTATTAAGGCTATTTTCTATGAAAATCGAATCGCTACGAAAGAATTAATTAGAACCAATGTCAATTAAAATTTTAATTTCCGAAGGATCAGATACTAAAGCTTCAAATCCATCTTTGACAATATCATTCAACTTGATTTTTCTTGTAATGAGCCGTTCAACATCCATTTGTTTACTATCAATAAGTTTAATTACCTCTGGAAATATATGTCGATAGCAAACAATTCCCTTGATAGTTATTTCACGCATGACAAGATCCATAGCATCCAATGCTACTGGTTTTCCAAATATTGCAACCAATATAGCTCTACCACCGTTTCTCAAAGATGCGATACCTGTTGTAAATGTTGATTGTACACCGGCTGCATCAAGATAAACATCGGCACCAAGACCACCAGTAAAGGCTTTAATTTGTTGCGAAATATTTTCCTCCTTACCATTGATAATTAATGTAGCACCTAGTTCACGTGCTTTCTCAAGACGTTTCTCGGCAATGTCTACAACAACGGTACGAGCAGCACCGGCAGCCATTGCAGCTTGAAGACATAGTAGACCAATTGGACCAGCACCAAAAATTACACATGTTTCGCCTAGAGTTGTAAATACATATGCATACAATTCGATCTTTGCTCAGTTTTTCTCCATGAAAGAGCATTTTTCAAAAATAACTCAAGTGAATAGAAGTTGAAATGTTCAGTTTAAATCTACCGTTTCCCTCTTTTCAATAATTCTACCGTAGTCTCAAAAGGTCGTACAGACCTGAAATTTTTACCAAATGATCATCTCTCGATTTTGGTATAAACATTTTGAAATTGTTCAGTTTGCTCGAGTTTTGGGTGTGGGCTGTAGAAATAACTCGGTTTTTTCTTGCGACTGAAGCGAACTACCGTAAATTCGATCCCATGGAACTGAAATTTTTACCATAGACGCAAGATACTGCATCTCAACTTCCTTTTTTATTTTTACGGTTTTTGTTTGATCTTTCCTTTCGGCGTTACAGAGAACAAGAAAACAAAGTTTGATCCAAAACAAAAACCGAGTTATAAAATTAAACTTGCAATAACTCAACAAGGAATGGTCAAAAACGAAAACTGATCAGTGTTGTGTGTCTACGAGAAAAATCTGAGCTCGATCCGATCAAATTCTAAGATGATCGTCAGTGTGTCAATGTAGGATGAGAAACAATTCGAGTTACGCGCTTCTATAAGGAATAGATATCTATCAAACACAAACATAGTTCTGATATTATACAGTTAAATATTTGACTATAGAAGTTGTTTATAAAATTTTTTTCTAGTGTACAAAATTTAGATACGAGAATTGGAACACATTCCTCTTATATTCTGTCATCGATATTCTTTGTGCATTCAAAGAGAATCAAAAGTTTCTTCAAAAAACTTTTTTTTCTCTCAAAAATATATAGTAGCTCTTCTAATTTTTCTGAGTTTTACACGAATAGGAATTCCTTGAGAGATGAACTGTATTATTGGAATTTTTAGTTTAGCGTTTGATACAAGGAGAAAAATTCTAAGATTAACTGCTACATTTCAATGCAAATAACTCAAATTGAAACACTACGTGACACGTAAAATTCAAATGGATTGAGTTGAGTTGCTATCCTCCATTTGTCCATGAAATATTTGACTGATATGTCAAATATTTGTGTTTGATCCATGCTTATAGTAAAGAATGCATCGCAGAAATTGTGCTTTTCGTAAAATGTACATAACTCATAGAAAATTCATTGACCTAAATCGGGTAACGTCTCATTCTAAAGAAAACACTTTCTTCTACAAGACTTTTGACTCAGAAAAAATTTCTCGTTTTCTCCAAATGGGAAAAAATTTCTAATCTTAATTTTGAATTTCTTATTGTAACTTTAGTCTGTTTTATAACTGATGAGGGCAAGTCGTAGAGAGTCGGAAGATATCTCATTTGAAAGAGAATCTTGTGCTCTATAAACTGAGCGTCTCAAACCCAGAGATGGGCAAGTCTGAGTTTTTTTAATTTAAGTTCAGTCTAAGTTAGCAGTCTGTCAGTCCAAGTTAAGTCCAAATCCGCTTTTTTGTTAAATCATCAGTCGCGAGATATACACTTGGGCCGATTGAAAATTTGGGCTTTTTCTTTGAAGTTTCTTTTACATAGGATTGGTTGCTGACCTTCATCAAGTTTACAACGGGTTTGTTACTAGCCGTCTGTAAAAAAATAGCCCAAAATTTTACTCGGCCGAACTGTTAATAAAACCATCAGTCTAAGTCCAGTCCAAGTCAAACTTTTCTAACGTTTTTATCGTTGTGAGTTCGCCAATATCAGCAGTCACTTTCTCCGTAGCCTTTCTCTAAACTGAATGAAAAAACGGACGAACTCTCCCTATCGTATTTGATTTACGGAAGAGAGAAAAAGAGAACAGCACTTTACCATAGATATAGACGGTGAACTTTCTCTCTTCTCTTAGTTCGAGTGCATTTACTTAGTTTATGAGAAAACAGAAACAGAGAATTCGTTTTTCTTTCTGAGTTCTTCCTTTTTTCCTCTGTTTATATTTTGTTGTTACAGAAAATCAGTCACGCTCTTTTTGATCAGTTTGTAAGTCCGAAAGCATTCAGTCCAAGCTCAGTCTCAGATCTGTGACTGATTGGCTATCAGCCCAGACTCAGCTCAAATCCGAACCTAGATTTGCCCACCTTTGTCAAACTCGACACCTAAAAATGTGGAGAAAAAAGGTCTTAAATATAGCCTTAAAACAGAAAATCGTTGTTTTCATAGTGAAAAAGATCGAACGGCTGGATACTGATACATACCTAGTTGTAAATCACTAGTTTTAACGGCATGCACAGCCACAGCAGCAGGTTCTACCAGTGCACCTTGTTCAAAGCTGACACTATCCGGTATTTTATGTATCATATAATCTTCAACAACTGCATATTTTGCAAATCCACCATTTCCCGTCAGACCAATAAAACCAATTGGCTCTGATAGATTATATTCACCTTTTGCTGTAAAGACACTATCTGGATTTCTAAAAATTGGTTCTACTACAACACGATCACCTGGCTTGACACGATCACTGTGAACATCATCTCCTACTTCAACAACTACACCTGAAAATTCATGTCCCATTGTTGTTACACCACAGTGTCCATTTAATGGATAAGGTTCTTTCATGGGAATTATCATTGGACCATGTAAATATTCATGTAAATCTGTTCCACAGATACCAACATATTTTACTTCTACTTTAACTTGATTTTTGTTGACAGAAGGAATAGATGTTTCTTCTACACGTATATCTTTTGCACCATGATAACGGGCAGCTTTCATTGTTGCGGTACTCGTATGATTAACTGTAGAATTTATGTCTATCTTGAAAGACACCACCACTGACTGTCCTATATGTAGAAAGACAAAAAAAATTCTCTTCTAAAACAAAAAATTCAACATATGTATTTATATGATTGACATTATTCTGTAGTTAGAACATGACCCTTCCTTGACCTCTATTTATTGTGGGAATGATCGAAAACATCGCCACGAAGAAGGAAGAAACTATATGTCTGTTCTGTATTCATAATGGATAAATGAACGAAAAAGGCCAAGAAGAAAAGGAACATCACTAAAAGATGAAAGAAAGAATTATACACACTTATGTATACTGTAGACAAACAAAAAGAAGAAACAATAGGCCCATAACAAAGACGTCTTTCACTCAGAAGATATCGTTGATATCTCGTGCATTCTTTTACAATCCATGAAAAAAAGATTTCTTTTCCTTTTCTGTGTCCCTCGCAACAATTATTCTTTTGCCTCTTATCCCAACACGGGTCATAGAGAAACGTCCTTGAATCTACACCAGTCTGAGTTTGTCGCTACAGAGATTCTTGAATTGATTTTTAATCCTAGAAAAATCATTTTAGAGATTAGAGTCAAGACAATATCGTGTTCAAAATTCAATGCTGGAACATTGAAACATGTTGTTTCCTAAAAGAAAATTTAGAACAACTGTTTTTTGCTAATTCTCAATTTTTCCATTGGAAGAAAAAGTATAGCGGATTGGAAGCTTTGATATTTTCGTAAAAATATCAGTTGTCCACAAAAGACTGCGCTGGACAAACAAGAAAAACCATTTACTTTGCCTAAAAATTCAAAAATAAATCAATTGACTCTTGTTTACTTCGTTTGGTTTTGAATTTTAGGCAAAGCAAAGGACTTTTGTTGTTTATCCAAGAGCCTTTTGTGGCAAATTTCATTTTCTACAAAGAGGCTTCAGGGTGCAATTCTCTCTTCCTAGAAGAAATTGAAAATTAGCTAAAACAATTTTTCCAAAGCGGAGTCAGAAAGTAATATGTGTAAAAATGAATTCTAAACAAGTTGTTCTTGGCTCAAGTGTCTTCAATGGCTCTTTTAGTGCGAAAAAGTGAGATAAAGAACATTATCAAACGCAGACTGGTGTGGGGATGCAAGAGTGTTTCTCTGTGCCCATCATTGGCAAAGAAAGACAGCGAGAAAACGGAGATAAGAAGAAGCACAACTGCGCAAAATGCAGGTAAAAGAAAGAGATATCTTTTTGTTGTGCATTGTAAAAGAACGCAAGAGATATCAAAAATATCTCTACCAAAGATTACATCTTTGGTTGCTCCATAATAATACTAGGGTGAGAGGGCGTGGGTATAAATATAAAGTGCGAGACACCCACACCCACTTGGAAAACTACGACTCTAATGAGCTCTTTCACCAAAAGAGTTCAATAGGTGTTTGAAGAATATCGCTAAAAAATCTACTTTATAACGTACTTTGGTAGCCAAGGGTTAATGCAATATGAATTGCATATACTATTTTGTTCACGTAGAAATTATCACATAAAATTACATGTATCTACGTTGATTGTTTCCATCACTTTAGTCCAACAAAAAGAAAATACAGAAAAATCTGAATAATACAGATCAACATTTGATTTGAACAGAAGCTAATACTGTTTATCATTTTCCATCTTAATATTGTTATCCTAAATTTTCACTATTGGGTTTTATTAAAAATAGAAACTTAACTTGATTTAAATGCTTTTAAAATTGGATTAAAGTCCAGATTTTCTCTATCATACAGAGAAAACTTAACTTCCCAACTAGAAAAACATTTTGTGCTGTGTTGACTCTGAAAAAACGACATTCATCCATTTACCTATGATTTGCAGTTTATCTCATAAAAGCACAAGAAAATGAAATTTATTTTCTTCAAAAAAGAAAGAGAAAACGGTTTCAACTACAAACATTCGATCCTCAAGGAACATCTGTTAAATTCAGTAGTGTTATAAAGAGTAGGATTCTTTCCAATTCTAGAATTGCTGACTAACTATCAATATTAAACAAAAACCAAATTTTCCAATGTTTTTCAGTATGATTCCATAAGAATCGAATATTTCTATCGACATGTAATGTGTTATATTAGGAAAATATTCTTCACCATTATGTGAAAATACCGATTAGTAAGCTAGTACTAATAATTCACATGACTTTAGAGGTCAGAAGCATTTTTTCAATCAGCTTGAACTTCGAAAAGAACGGAGCTCATGATTACAACTTATTGGAATGTTAATTCATGAATCAATATGCATTCTAATGGTCCATAATTTGTCGAAAGAAGTACATTTTTATCGATAAAATGGTTTAGCTATGGATAACAATTCATTTTAATGACTATTTCTCTATTATTCATTGAATCAAGATAGTGAATGGGCGTTTGCTAATAGAGAATACCCACATCCACTTACAAATAACGCTCATTAAGAATCGTGTTATGCTACATTCTTTGTGATTAAATAGTACCAGCAAAAAAGAGATCTCCTCAGTCAACGAGAACAAGTTTATAGAATTGTAAATCGATCATGTTGTTCATGCTCTACTGGGCTACCTATCAATCATTTCTTCACACCCACCCTACCCTCTGCATGCTCACCTCAATCAGGTACTCATATGGTTAATATATATATCTAAATCGTCTTAATTAATTAATAAGTCATTGAAAAGTAACTCGTTTATAAATATATGTCGAATCGATTTGGGTGTATAGTAAGTATGATTGAGATATCAAATACGATCATCAAGGACTTTCGAAAATAATTTCAATTTACAATAAAATAATTCATTATTGCTTACATATCTATTCAGTTTGAACATAATTTTCTTGTTTAAAATCAAATTAATCGTATTGAATTAATCTATTATAAATCGATTTAATGACAATAACCATAAAACACACATAATATGAAAACTAACTCGATATTACTAAAACTTACTTCGAGTAGTTTTAAAGATCCATCATAATTAAGGAAAATTACAAAGAATTTCGAGAGATTTCAATATAAATTGAAGCATCGATCAATGAACACGAAAATGTTTATTTGAAAATACTCGCATTCAATTAACTAATATAAAATACAATTCAATATCATTCTTAGAAAAAATATTAATGAATAATAATTTCTTTATGATTGATTGAATATAAAAATCTGAATATGAAAATTAATGAAATATTTTAATAACAATTTTTTCGAAAAAAATTCAAAGAAAATTAATGAGTTTTGTCTAAACTGATTGTATTATATTAATTATCAATCAAATTGTATAAATAATCGAACAGTCTTAGTGAAGAGAATTATTGGCAATAAAACGAAAAATTTTCTTCATCAACCGTTTGCTTATCGACGAAATAAATCGACATACGATTAATAGACTGCTTTTAGATTGTATAGACATTTTTATTTCTTAACACATTAGTCAAACATCAACTGTACAAAGAGTAATAATTTGTAAAGCTTCTGATGTATTATATTTGTTTTTACATCAATTATCGAAAAATGAATCCATTCGGAGTGATTAGATTAATTACACATGATGATGAAATTCATGAAGAATAAATATGTCTTCGATAACCGATCAGTTCACAACTAAAAATTTTTCTATCGTTTAGAGAGAACTATTTTGTCATTGTTTATCTAAGGTTAAAAATATAATTGATGTCGTTGAATAAATACAAATGAGTTGTTGCTTTTTAAATATAATTGCAAATCATCATCTTTTCTTCATCAATCTCGTCAATAAAATCAATAGTGAAAAGACATTAAGAATCTTTTTTAGTTTAACTACAATAACTTTATGTAAATCTGTTGCTAGTACAATAATTTTCTCTATATGGCAAGTCAATGTGTTCATTATGTTTCTATTCAATGGTTTATATTTATATGTTTTTTTTCTGTACTTTTAATCCAGATTTGCAACATTGATGAATGAAAGAAAATTTTGCTAAATTATTCTTTTCAATTTTTTTTTGGCTTCCACTAGACGAAGAAAAACAAAATAATTTCTTATACTTTTTCGTCATTGAAATCTTTTTCAAATCAAATCTTACGTTTTTTTCTTTTTAATAATAAACATTTGATATCGAATTTATATTTGTTTTAATGATTATAATAAATATCATCGTCAAACACAAATCAATATAACTCTTGTCAAGAAGATCTATCTATGGATTATTTAAAAGAAGATGATGATGAAAATAAAAATCAACGAATATGTTTATCAGATCAGATTCGTTAAGTATCTGATCGCCTTAATCAATTTTATAGAAATGAATCAAAATTTTAAAAAAGATTTAAGGAATAGAGAAATGAAGCTCATGACACAATTGATAAATTTTACAAATCAAAACATGATGAATATATAAGAACAGCAAAAGAAATATTACATTCATTAACTAGTGATCATGATGCTTCACAAGATTATTTGAATTATGCTAAATATGTAATTCAATCAATTCATTAACAAATTGACGAATTCGAACAAGTTAAATCAATATTTTCTCCATTAAAAATTGATAATTGTTTTATTAATTATCCAAGTCGAATATCTGATTTAAAACTTCATGCATTTCCAATAAAAGAACTTGTTTCTAATTTATCATCATCTTCAACATCGCATTTTCATACAAATCAATCAGACAAAAATTCTTTTGTAGGTTTCGAAGCTCCAAAACATATGATTAAACTTCAATCTGATAATTGATATGCTTTATCAACAAATCAAACATCTTTAGTAGTTTCAGAAAAATTAAATTTATATTTAATTGATCAAACTTTAACAATTATTGAGAAAAAATCATTTCTACAAATTGGAATCAAATATATTTTCACGATTTATTCTAACATCATTAAAAAATATTTATACTCTTGATTTTAAACTCATTGCAGTAGAATTATCTTCAATTAATTCTATTAAGAAGTATTCATGGGAACGTGAAACTTGTTATGATACAACTTTATTTATTTCAACATTTGGTGAAAATCTTTTTATTATTGAATATACTATTTTCCCATCAATACATTTAAATAAACGATGGCCATCATCAATAATTTGTAAAGAAAATCAAGTTATAAGTGATATGAAATCAAATGAAAATAATCATGGTCGATTCATCTTGGTAAAGGATGGTCTTATAGATGTTCACCTTTAAATTTAATGTTATTTCTTGCGGTCTAAATCAATTTGTTATAAGAGCTGCTGAACATCTTAACATTCACAATTGCAAATAAATTTCTAAAACAACTTGACGTAAAAAAGAATCTACATTAATTTTTGTTTAATTATTATCAAAAAATAGAATCATAACGAGAGATTTCATCCGATACAAGAGAATATCAAATATGAACTAAAATAATCAAATAAATGAATTTTTCTAATCTTGACAAGTATTTCATTTCATTTGGAATGCATCTTTAGATTTTCTTCGTTCCTAGATGCTAACCTTTCACTATTAGATACATCCGATCAATCCTAATCATTGTTTATTTCATCCAGATAAGATAGTAATGGTTATCGCTAAACTTTAAACTTGTGGCAAGTAAGAGACAGAGTGATTATAATACTGGGTATCTTCGTACATTAAAGGCACCTAATCGAATAATAAAATGATATATGCAATAGCACTCTATCATGGACATATTGTTTTACTGAACGAAGATGTTCTATGAAAGTATATTTCGAAGACATGAATCGATTTGTCTTCGTTATAGAACTGATTAGGGTGTGGGTGTGGATGTGAATGGGTGTGTGTGGAGTGTGGGTGAGTGTGAGTGTGTGGGTATGAATGTGGGTGTGGGTGTGGATGTACGAGTGTTGGTGTGAATGCTGCTATTCTCTTCACACACACTCACACCCACAGTCATCCACACTCATCCCAAATACGCACACCCACACATCCCACACTCACCCACACCCACACCACCCAAATCCACACCCACCCACACTAACACCCCACACCCCACACACCTACACCAACACTCACACACCCATCATCAAGCACATTTTCAATCGATCACATCTTCATCTATATGATAGCGGTTCTATTGAATAGAAATAACTACTGAAACGCTGTTTCATTGAATCAGTTTCAAAGTATTTTATCTTTTTCCATGTCCTATCAAGAACTATTTCTGAACTATATCAAAACATATACATCTAAATAATTAAAAAACAAAATCAATTTTCAACAGCTTTTTAATTTCTAAAGAAAATTAATAATTTATTTACCGGGGCTTCTTGTCTTATGTATAATCATTAACATGAATAAAACTATCTGTCATTTGATGAGTAACAGCCATGTCATTAGTCACTCATCGTGTTTTTAATTGAAACGAATGAATGTACCCTTGTCACAGAGTAATGAATAATTACAGTTTGATCGAAAAAGAAAAACAAGGCATCTATGTATGAATAATTTGATGAAAGTCAAAAAACATTTATATAATTTTCTTGGCATTATATAAGTCGGTGTTTTTCTCATAAAGGAAATAGTATCCTAATATTCATACAACAATAATATGCCAATCGAACCTTGTTTTATCAATAGCACGAACAATAAAAAATTTCGACTTAATGGTATTTTACGATCGACACGTTTGCCAGATAAACATAAATTATGTCAAAAATTTCGTCAAGATATGGTTTTAAGAACTGATCAACTTCCACCGAACGTTGATCTTCGATCAGATATGACATCTGTTGAAGATCAATCACAACTTGGAAGCTGGTAAAGAGAATTCTATCATTGAAAATTTTTATTTCTTTGATTTTATACATTTCAGTGTGGCTAACTGTCTTGCTGGTACAGAAAAACATGACAAAAAAATTGAAATTCTTTTTATTTTATCATTAATGTTTTCTTTTTAGGAGCTTATGAATATTTAGCAAAGAAATCAAATGGTATCAATATAGATGTCAGTCGTTTATTTATTTATTATAATGCACGAGTTAAAGGAAATTATTCAGAATCAATAGAAGATACTGGTTGTTCAATGACAGATGCTATTGAAGCATTAGAAGAATTGGGTACATGTCTTGAATCAATATGGCCATATGATATATCAAATGTTAATACACGTCCTAGTGATCAAGCATTTCAACAAGCAAAAAAGTATACAATAAATGAAGCATTTCGAGTTGATCTTGTTTTAAATGAAATGAAATCATGTCTTGCACAAGGTTTTCCATTTGGATTTGGCATTCAACTGTTTAATTCATTTGATAATGCAAGAAAAACAGGGGTAGTACCAATGCCAGATCCTTCAGAGAGTAGCAGAGAATCACATGGAAGGTTTGTTGCATATAAATTTTTTTTTCATAAATTTAAAAAATAAAAAAGAATTTCGTTCTTTTATATAGTCACGCAATGTTAGCTGTTGGTTATAATGATCAATCAAGAGCATTTATTGTTCGTAATTCATGGGGAGAAGAATGGGTAAATAGATGTTTGCTCTCAAGAATTATCTTCTTTTGTTCTTATTGTAGGGTGATAGAGGATATTGTTATGTTCCATATGATTATATGACTAATTCAGATTTTTGTTTCGATGCATGGACGATTCGAAAATTGATGAATAATGATTTTAGTCAAGAAAATTGGCATTTTGATGATAATAAGAATAATTATTCTGATGATATTCATGACAATAATCATTTTATTCAAACATTAGACGGACATGATGATACTGAAGGTTATAACGGTAATCAAGATCTTTGGTGGAATGATAAGAATCGTGAAGGTGATAATTATGATTTTTCGTATCAATATCAAACTGATGAACGTTTGTTTTTCTGTATATATATATATATCAATAAGTATTGTTCTTTTTTTGTATAATTTAGCGAATAATTATTCAACAAATGATGCTAATTCTTATGATAATGCTAGTCAAAATAATCAGGATAGTAAGTCATTTGATAGTAGTTTTATTCTTTTAAGTTACAAAATTTAATTATCGTTTAGTTTATTTAAAACAAGATTGGAATTCAGACACAAACTATTCATATCCACAAAACACTCAGTATGACAATCAAACAAATTATTGTAAGTATTTAAAACAAATTCTGAATTTCAGAATTAACTGTACTCATAAAATGCAAGAAAAAAAACAATTGTCAATTATATTATCATATCTTTTTAGGTGATGATGTTTCAAATTTCAATTGAATGACTTATTAATATTATTTTCAACATTTGAACTATTTAATACGATTTTTTGTAATTTCTAACATGATTATCATATAATTCCTTTAAAAAAAATGAAAATAAAATGTTCATTGTTGTTTTTCAATTCAATAAAAAGTAATAAAAAAAGTTGAGTGTGAGAGTTCATATACATTTCACTCACGCCCTCAAGTTCATCTGCTGTTGGACTTCCACATGATAAATCTATGTGATTACTATAAGAATATGAATAACTAAATTCAGTATCATTCTATATTCATCACAAGGAAGATCTGTAATTATAAGTTGAGTAAACTTTGAAAATTCAATAGAAGAATTGGTATCATATCATTTTTCATTAAAACACAAAAGAAAATTTATATATTACAAAAAAAAAATGAATGAAATTCATCAGAAGGTTCAAATTGTGTTAAAGATCCAGATTCAGGAACAATTTGTTGATGATGTTATAAATAAAAATCAATTATCTGAAATTAATTCATTTTATCGATTACTATGAAGATAATGTTTATCTTCAGGGAAAGTCATATAATACATAAAATTTTCAAATTACATTCTTTTTCTATAATAAACATTTCCAATTCATCAAATGTTTCAGCAGCTAATTCTTTTACAAGATATGTCAAAATAGGAAGAATAATGGAAAACAAAATTTAATTGTTTAGATGCTATATAAATATCTATATACTTAGGGCATACCAAAAGTAGTGGCAGAGGTTCGGAAATTCCTTATAAAATGATTTAAGAAACTTTCGTTCTAAATAATCTGATAGAGAAAAGAATGTTCTATTTTTCTATATGCTATTTGATCGTACTGCAACTAATATCATAATAATAAATATTTGATAAGATCTGTTTCGTTTGAATACGTGCCGGTTATATGAATACTGTTTCTTAAGTTTTCTTTATTCAATTTTCTAACTGTTGGTAGAATAATTTTTTTTATGAAAAAACGAAAGAGCCAAAAGTAGTGATTGTTTTCATAGGTTTCGCTAGAAAATCGTGTTAGAGGCTCGACTAGAACACATATTTTTCATCTCACCCTTTCGCACTTTGTAGATCTTCAACTAATGATCAGAATTTCTAATTGATAATAGAAAATTCATTGGAAACAACTTACTAGATAGGTTGGTCTTAAAAACGTCAATTGAAAACCTTACAATAAACATATAAGAAAACCCTGGAATATACGATTCAATGCGTCGTCATCTCCTCTTTCCAACGATGAAGACCGCAGTTATCTATTTTGTTTCTAACAAAAGCTATTCAAAAAATACTCACTCGTACTTTTTAAAATTAGTATTAATACAACCAGCACGTATGCAAACGAAACAGATCTTAGCGAATATTTATTATTATGATATTAGTTGAAGTACGATCAAATAGCATAGAAAAATAGAGCATTCTTTTCTCTATCAGACCATATAGAAAGAAAGTTTCTTAAATCTTTTTATAAGGAATTTCCGAACCTCTGCCACTACTTTTGGTATGCCCTAAGTAATATTTAACGCATATATAAACTTGATGAATTTTTTTCGATGCTGTCAGAGAAAGTCTACCCATACTTCAACCGTGAAACGAGCCCATAAACGAGATAAATTTTTGCCGTTTTGTATGATACATGGCAAGTTTTAATGCTGGTTCAACTGCTTCAGTACTTGAATTAGTAAAATATGTTTTTGTCGGTGATTTGATAGGAGCTAATTCATCGAGTTTCTTAGTTAAATCGAGCATGTGGTGATAATTATAATTTGTTGAACACATGTGAATAAATTTTTGCGTTTGTTTTATGATTGCTTCGACAACTTCAGGATGGCAATGACTAGTTGAACAAACGGCAAAACCTGAGTTACAGTCCGTAAATACATTACCATCAGTATCGTCAATCCAAACACAGTAAACTTTTTCAACAACAAGCTTATATGGATAACGATAAAACGATGACGTTACATATTTTGTATCTTCCTC